CCAGAAAAGATGATAATTTTTTCACCAAACAGCTGGGAAGGACTGAAAAACAGAGAAATTTGAACTTGAATTAGCTTGAGAGTTGAGCCCAGATGATAAAGATTTGATCTTTGACAAAAAAAGGTAACAGCTTTAGATGCAAAAATTGGAGAAATTTGTGATCTTTTGCAGAGAGGAGAAAAGGATTGATGAGTTCTTGGGAGAGACAAACCAAACCTTCTTGCTGGGTAACTTCTCAGAAGAGGAAAATGTTGAAAAAGGTGAAGATTGTTGTCATAGAAATTTAAAAAAAATAAAAAATTAAAGCTTTTGGAGTGGTTGCAATAATCAAAACATTATAATACGGCATTGGTCATTTAAGAATGGAAAAAAAAAAAATCTGCAATAAATAAATGCATAAAGTGGGTCTGAGATTAGGGGGTGCGAGAATCTTGAATGCTCACAAAATTGCCCGTTTTATTGAAAATGGGAGCCGACAGGTAATAACTTAAGTACCTAATAAAGACCCCACGAGTCCACTCAAATAAATAAATAAAGCTTTTATCAGTGAAAATCAAAGAGAATCAGGTACAATTAAGCGAGTCAATTTGTTATATTTTTTTTAAGAAAATATATAGTATCTATGTTAGCAAAGTCGTACTTTTTATTTGTATTGTAGCATGACATATGCCTAAATCTATTAAAAATGTGTAGCTGTCTAATTTACACATCTGTACATGAAAATGGGTATGAGAACATTATTAATATAGATAAATAATTAAATATCATGTAAAAATACAATTACACAAATGATGAGACTGTAGAACGACAGGAGATGAAAGTGAAAGAAAGAACTTTCCAACAGCCGTCACTACCGTCCAATTAAAGCTGATGACAAATTAAGTGGTGTGACAATTTTGCCCCTAAGCATGAGATTAGGTTAACGAAACACAACACTACAGAGAGGTAATTATGTCTATTTTCAGGGGTAAGATGGTACATAAATAAAAGGGTAGAAGAAGAAGAAGGTAGCTTTACTTTTCAACTTGTAAGTTGCAAGATAATTACTCCATTTCCTACAAAATTTTCTGGAGTGAATACAGATGTGAGGTCAAGATTTTGTATGCATAGGCCCACAAATTATAATTTTAAAAAATATAGGAAATAAAAATGAAAGTCCTAATCTTTTTCATAATGTATATGTGGACATAAAACATTTTTTGATGAGGTAAAAGACTTCCCTTTGAAGAGAAGATAGGAAGGAGTCATCTCCAGTTGTACTCATATTTGTATGGAGTATATTTAAATTTGAATTTTCCAAAGACACTAAATATAAGGTTTAGCCCAACACACAAGAACGAATATACAATTGTGAAGAAATTGTTGCAATAGATGGCCAAATAATTAAATTACAAAAATTCTACCTGAAATTGCTTTTATCCTTTGCTCAACATTCAAGGCACCCCAAAATTCTTTTTCAGCAACCAAGCAAGAGCTTCTTTTTCTTTATACCTTTTCCTGTAAACAAACATCAATACTCAGAAAATGATTCGTATATATCCTTATTATATTTTAATCTCAAATTAAAACCACTCGTAACAAACTTTGTGGTCTCATTTAAAAAATTATGAGTAAGTAAATAAACAAAAGACAAATGTAATTTCTTTCCTTGTAAAGACGATGTAAAGGTTCAAACTTTTTTAAGAGACAGCTTTGAAGATGAGATTTTTCTTCTTTTCTCTTTTCTCCTTTTTTTTTTTTTTCAATTTACCANTCTAATAAGACCCAATTAACCTGATCAGAGTGAAGCAAAAGAAAAAGGAAAGCTTTTTTTAAGTATTGGGCTCCAAACAAGTCCAGGTTCAATTAACTTGACACCACAAATTCTTACAAAATCTGCAGACAAAAAAACTCACGATTTCTAACAAGAACTTATTTCCCATGAAAAAGATCGAATTTTGTTTTCAGAAGTTCAATTAGACACACTGTGCAATAAGATCCCCATTAGCCAAATCAGTGTCTTTAAGCAATGTACTAGTTAGGTAACTGCAGACACCACAATTCTTACAAGATCTGCAGAAAAAGAAGAACTCACAAATTCTAACAGCAACTTCTTTGTTTTCACAAGTTACAAGTAATATTCTAACAGTACCAAGATACAATTTTTTTCGAAAATGGGGCAATCCCACAAAATTAAAAAAGAAAAAAGAAAAAAACGAAGAACACTAACCTTTGACTTAAGAAAAGAGAACAACTCACTCAACAAGCAGAGTGAAACAAACAGGTGTTCAAACGGTCGAGTAAAAATTGTGTCTTTACATTACAAATCAAAAGGGTATCTCAAAATCCATAAAATGTGTCAGCTACTAATAATAATACAATATGATTTGAACTTGAGAACAGCTATTTAAAAGGTAAGAAAAAAAGGTACCCATTAACGCAAACAGACAAAATGACTCACAAAGCTACAGAGAGAGCAAATTTGAAAATCAAACGGACTCATCTCTCAAAAATGGAAGAACTTCTTGTCAGAACATTGTCCCACACAAACTCCCTCTCTCCTCTCACTCTCTCTCTCTCTCTCTCACACACACACACTAGAATGTGGTGTTTTATATCTACAGCAGTAAAGTGAAAAAAGTTTCGGTCGAGTGAGTGAAGTGTGCGTGTGTTTTTTACACTTTTACTTCGTGCGTTAGGACAAGAAGAAGGGGGTAAAATATGCCGGGATGGTCGGGGGAACCGACGGCCGAGATTAAGGGGACGTGTTTGGGAAACGGTGCGATCTGACGGTTGTGATTGGTCGAATTTTGAAAGTGGTTCGGGGATTTCGAGGTCGGAGGTGGTGACGTGGCGGAGGCACGTGTGTGGTGGGCCCGGCCCGATTATTTCACCGATGACCGATGTAAAAATTAAATGTAAGGTTTCATGCGGTGGAGTTTCTTCTTTATGTTACCTCCGGACTAGTCGCGAGGAAGGGGAAGGTCGCGATTATATACAAATATATATATATATGCTCCAAACGAGTTTTTTTTAATTAATTAAAGTTAATTTAAAAAAAAATATATATAATTATTTATTTGTGAAATTGTAATTTTATATTAAAATAATATTTAAAATAAAATGATTAACGTTGTTCGATATAAAAATATGAGATTGATGATTTGAAGTGATGTTTAATTAAAATTATGTAAATAAATAAATAATGAATTAAAGTTGATATGATGTATAAAAATGATTGGGTAATATTATTTAATTATATTGATAATATTGATAGTAGTGAGGTTGAGTTAAAGTTGAGTTTCTTGTTCAGTTGTCTTGGGACTAGTGAAATTACAAC